CATGGCGAGCAGCTTCGCGCGCTGTAATGATGCGGGCGGTCCCGGGCGGCCGCGGTGAATACCAATGTTGGTCCAGCCGGCGGCCGGTCTGCGGTCGGCCCGCGCCCGCCTGGGTGGGATGAACACGAGGGCAGACCGACATGCAGCCGCCGCCGACAGCACCGCCGGCGGCTGCACGGCCGCAGCGCTGGCCACGCGCGTTGTACTCGCGGGCGCAGACTTCACGGTGTGAATACTCCCCCCCCCCTCCCCCCTCGGGCGTAACACCCTCCCCCCTTCTCTGATGCTGCACGGCGCGCGTGCTGCCCAGCTGGTGTGCAACACGACGGGCTGGTACGGCTCCGGTGTGAGGGAGGGGGGGGGGGGGGGGGGTCGGGGAGTGTCTAGCCAGTGTGCCGCTCACTGCAGTGCAGCCACAGGTTTTCGGATGTGCCACAATGCCTCACCATATCTGGAAACAGCGTTTGGCTCCGCCACAGCAGAGTCGTGACTTTCGTCGAGGCAATTTGGACTCAACAACAATGTTTTGTTTGTTGTGGAATACCAGATGCCGGGGAAAATACTTCCAGGTCTGCGTCATGGAAATGACTTGAATGTTATATTTTGAATGTAAGACCATTCCAATAAGTGAAGGCTAGAAAGCTAACCTTTGAATACAGCCCCATGTATGGGCTTCACGGCCTCGAACATTATTTTTTTAGTAAAATATATGTTGAAAAATATCCGAATAAAAGCAGGTAGATACACAAAAGTGCCATAAAACAAGTATTATCAGCACACCTTATTTGCAACACAACAGTGGTAAAAAGAGCCTCACGGCAAACAAAACAGTTGTACATCTTAAATATACGCCTTATTTTTAAATGAACTTATCTATTAACCTACCAATGTACATCGCTTGTTTTTCAGTGCAAGGCAGTAGAATATTAAAAATAATTGGTTTTATCGTGCCTGCTTAGACAAGTGATATTCTACCCAGAAATTACAGACAGTGACAAGGTCAAAAGCTCATTCGGCTAGATCGAGCTTTTGTCTTCATCAGCTTGATAACATAACGTCTTCATCAGCTTGATAACGTACATGCTTTCCGTACAAAAGAGAGAGCACAAAAAGAAAGAAACAAAGTCAACAGTTTAAAAAAGTTTTGGGTGTTTTAAACTGCAAAAGACAAGAAGCCCAGGATACATTCTATGTTTTGTCACTTCTGTAGACCGTATGTGTAAGGTTTCTTACCAAAACAAAGCGTATCATGCTTTACCTATCTACGTTTCGCTTTTTCATATAATTGTCTTCATTTTCCTTCCATGCTTTCCGTTTGTCCAGTTCTTTTTCAAAGAAGACCGTGCTTACGATCATTTTCTTCGTCGTAATTTGTGTTGTTCCCTCCCATAATTTTGTTCCTTGTTTACATGCTCCCATCTGCAACACTTCTCCGTACCGCTTCCATCCACTACCAAACTTCTGTCCACTTCCTGTCTTCGGTCTTTCCTTTTTCTTGCTTGTTCTCTCTCCTCTCCCCTCTCCTCTCTCCTCTCTCTCTCTCTCTGCTCTCCCTCGCTCTCTCTCCTCCCTCTCCTCTCCCTCGTCCTCTCCTCATCTCCCTCTGCCTCGCCTCTCTATCTCCCGCGCTCTCTCGCCTTCCCCTCTCTCTCTCCTCCCCTCTCTTCTCTCGTCCGCATCTCTCTCTCATCCCTCTCTCTCTCTCTCTCCCTCTCTCTCTCCCGTTGTGTACGGAATGATGATCGGTCTGACCTCCTGCTGATGCCGCCGGCAATACACAGACCCACGTCGGCGACCGGAACATTAGGGATGACGTCCTGGCCGCCCCGGAGGTGACGTCAGAGTCTCTGACGTCATGCCTGTGTTTCTCTGAACGCCATGACCCTGGCCGCAGTGACAGCGTGGGCATTGATCTGTGATCAAAATGACATTCTGATCAGCACTGCCATAAGTCTGCAGACTCCGGGACATTTGTTTTAGGGGGATCTTTCGGGGATTTTGCCGGTCTCAGTATTAGGTGTATCGATCTGTTGAAGCATCTCAATTCAGCCACAGAGGATGCCATGAATTTTTGATGATGAAGGCAGCAGAAGACGTTAAGTGTTGTAGGCGCCCTGTCAGAGTCAGTACCTGAAATTATGTCTCACTCGTCATGCATTTCAAGAATAATCGCCGTTAAATTTAGCTACAGAATGCTTCATTTATGTGGAACGCGACTTTCCCATTTGAAGGAGCACAGCGCTTACCTGTTATAAGTGTTTCACCAACCTGTTATTTGAAAGTTCGCGATGAATCTTGTAAAAATGTTGTCACTCCTTCATGCTAAGAGCATTCAAGTTTCTAATTTTGTCAATTATAAACACCGACGAGCCAAGTCGAGCCTTTTATCCGCTCCCCACCCTCAAGCACACGGCCAACGCTCTGGCCCAAGGTTCCCCTGACATTAGTGTTTGGGATGATGGCTGCTGGGGGTCAAAAGTCACCACCTTCAGTCATTACGTCTGAGAACCACAAATGCCGGGAGAATGCTGACTGGAAAGCGGACGACAAGGGTACCACCGCCGTACCCGTCTCCGTTCAGCAGCGCACGGACCGGCGCAGACGAGCACCAACAGCAGCACCATCTCGTGCCGTCATGCCAGCGCACGTTTGCATGCGACGGCGACGTCATCAGCAGGCCAGTCACCACTGCCAGCTGGGCTGAGAGCTGATCTCGGCCGCCATGAGCTCCCCAGCAGGCTCAGCTGGATCTCTGGTCGCGATCACGCCGCCAATCAGTGCCGCTCTATAGTTGCACTACAACCCACCCGCAGTTTATGAACGCAATCTCGCTGCAGTCCTACTGCTTGCCGATCACCCCGAGCACACCGTCTCGTTCCAAAGTAACATAGCCCCGACTTGAAATATCACGTCGCGCCCGGGGATCTGGGATCGGCCCTTTGCGAGTATCTCGGGTTCAGGCCGATGGGATATCGGGCCGCTGCCGGGCCGCGCGCACATCACTCGGCTCCACAAGCGCGGGGTATCGACTCTGTCGGCGCGTCCGCCCAAGCCGACATCCGGCGGAATGGCCGCCAGCGCAGGTGGCTCACATTGTCTCCGGCTGTCGGCCGGAAGATCGCGCCGGCCGCCACCATGGGGAAACCCTCGACATGGGCCCTGGGTCCCTGTTATGGGGCGACATGGAGTCGTGGTATGGGGACGGGGCCCGTAACATGGGCCCTGACGTGGGGTGGTCTGAAGCCGTGACCTGGGGCGGAGCCCGTGACATGGGCCCTAACATGCGGGGTAAGGAGCCGTGATAGGAGACGAAGCTGGGGACATGGGTCCTGACATGCGGGGTAAGGAGCCGTGGTAGGAGACGGAGCTGGAGACATGGGTCCTGACATGCGGGGTAAGGAGCCGTGATAAGGGACGGAGCCGGGGACATGGCCCCTGACATGCGGGGTAAGGAGCCGTGATAAGGGACGGAGCCGGGGACATGGCCCCTAACATGCGGGGTAAGGAGCCGTGATAAGGGACGGAGCTGGGGACATGGCCCCTAACATACGGGGTAAGGAGCCGTGATAAGGGACGGAGCTGGGGACATGGCCCCTAACATGCGGGGTAAGGAGCCGTGATAAGGGACGGAGCCGGGGACATGGCCCCTAACATGCGGGGTAAGGAGCCGTGATAAGGGACGGAGCTGGGGACATGGCCCCTAACATGCGGGGTAAGGAGCCGTGATAAGGGACGGAGCTGGGGACATGGCCCCTAACATGCGGGGTAAGGAGCCGTGATAAGGTACGGAGCTGGGGACATGGGTCCTGACATGAGGTGGTATGAACCGTGACACTAGGACGGAGCCCGGGACATAAGGTCTGGCTGGTGAAAACGACAGCGCAGGACATGAACCCGTAAGAGGACGGCGCAGAGCGTGGCCATGACATGGGAACGGAACATTGGACATGGGTTCTGTCGAGGCCCTGATCGGAAACAGGGCACAATACGTGGGCTCGGGCAAGCAAGGAGATGCGTGACATAGACCCTGTACTGACAGAGCACATGCCATAGGTCCTGACCGCAGAAGAATCCTAGGACATGATCTCTTTGTGGAAAGAGCTGGGAATCAAAGCCCATCAGATATTAAAAAAAAACGCTGAGAAGAGAGCTTGATAGTGATGGAGAGGGAGGGGAGGGGCGGAAGTGCAGATACATTTGTGGATGATATGCACTGCTTTGAGAGCAAGCACAAGAATGTACACTCTAAAATTTTTGATCGTTTTCTGAAAACTAAAACTTTGAACCGCTTTCTGAAAACTAAAACTTTCGATCGTTTTCTGAAAACTAAAACTTTCGATCGTTTTCTGAAAACTGAAACCTTCGATCGTTTTCTGAAAACTAAAACTTTCGATCGTTTTCTGAAAACTAAAACTTTCGATCGTTTTCTGAAAACTAAAACTTTCGATCGTTTTCTGAAAACTGGCGCGTAGAGCAGCTTGTTTATGTTACACATTTTCCACGTGTTTGTACTCATACACCTAGCACACACTTGGCACTCTTCCGATCCACCGCGTTCGAAACAGTGTTCGGAGCGCAGGAGTTTCCTCGCCAACTGCCTGGACCGTTCACCGGACAAGCGCATAGCGCTCGATGCCAAAAACATTGAAATACCACTCCGCCAAGAAAGAACCAACCAATTACGAATTCATCCGCATCTGTATCAAATCCGTTATGTGTTGATCGCAGCCGGCGTTCTTCTCATCCCTAACCAGCGCAGCCGAAAAGCCACTACATGATACGCTTTCATCCCGAAAAATACCGGGCGTCGCTCGGAAACCGTTCATATCACAGCAATTATGAATAGTCTCTCCAACGCGTAATTGCGTCGGCCCGCCAAGCGTGCGCGCCTTCGCCGACACTCCTGCCACCTGTCGGCGTCGCCCGAACCATGGCAGGCGGCCGGCGGCCGGCGCCTCCGCGAGGGCTCCTCGCCGCGGCCGGCAGTCGGTCCGCTACGGTGGTCGCGTGGGGTCCGCGAGGGCGTCCGAGTGCCGCAGCCGCTGCCGGGCGTGGGAGCGTGGTCCACCGTCCGAGCGGAGCGCCGAGGCGGAGTTCGGAGAGGAGTCGCCGACGGAGCTCGGAGAGGGGCCCCGCCGCGTATGGACGATGCGTGGTTCGGCCCAGCTCGTCTTCGTCCTCTGGACGGCGCTCGGTGCAGGTAGGCGGGCTGTTGTTTACGACGGGCTGCGTGCGGTCTGGCCGGCCGCGATCTTATCGGCCAGCAGGCCTATCGCGACCCGGATCGCCCCATTGGAGGTGGAGTGGTTCTCAAGTTGTCCAGCCTGCGCCCCGCTGGTTGGAATTCGACCCCTTCCTTGTCTCGTCAGCATGCGAAGTGCAGTGCACGGCACTGTCTACGGCGCGGAGAGGCGTGCTGAATTGATGCAGATATTGCTTGCAGTGTGCATTTAACAAAGAAGACAACTTGCATTCAGCAAGCTGCTTGCTGTTCGCTAAGGTGGGATGCTACCCCGGTTTCCATGTCCAATGCATACCCCTGTATTCTTAGCAGTTTTAATGATAAATGCATTTGTGAAGCAGTGTATTTTGCTGTATATGACTATAGGTGGAAAGCTAGCGATCTCTGGATAAATTTCTCGAAGACGGTTCGTATGCCGTGGGCGTGCTTCACTGAAAGTAACACTCATTTGCTACATGCTGGAAACGCCGTGTTTTGTCGGGGGCAAAGTGGTTGGGCTTCCCAAAACGCATATGTTGATTTACATGTGGAGAGCATTGTTCCATGCTCTTTTAACTGGTATCGCACAATTCTCTCCCCAGAGAGCCTTCCGTTCACACTGTCCTGGCTGCTTTCAGTTTCGGACTTTCATGAGTCGGATGGGAGGCTAGTGCACACATTGGTACTTTCATTATGTCAGCATTTAAGTCCATATCGTTATAGCTGAATATTAACAATAAAAGCCAACCTATCACAGGTGTCCGGATTTTTTTTGGGAACATGATGGTTTTGGAATCGGATTGTTCTGCTCGTTAGAAAATCTAATTGCAAATTGTTTTTCGTACCCAATCACAATTTCTTTAACTATTTATTCACGAAAGTACGCTGCCCTTGTCATTTTTCTTAGATTTTGTAGTTGCAGGAAATCTAGTTCTGTTGATAAAAAGACACTGAAGCAATTAATTGTCCAACGTCAGATACATATATATGTATATATACATATATATATATATATATATATATATATATATATATATATATATATATATATATCTGACGTTGGACAATGTCCATTTTATTGGAAACACTTTTGCAAGTAAAGGAGAAAAGCACAATATGCTCAGCAAAAGCAACCGGTTGCAAATAAACTAGAGCGCCCTTGTTCACAACAAGACAGAAATGGACCAAAAACTGCTGACCCCCCGTGTAGTGTCTATTCTTTCCAGCTAACTATATTACAGTCACCGCAAAAGTTTCTACGCGACGCACTCCGTCACCATGTAGAGACAAAATTTTCCTGATAGTGTTCTCACGACCAGTTGGAGTGGGATAGTGTTCTTACGAAAAGGGGGGGGGGGGGGTGTTATAGTGTTCTCACAAGTGAGAGTGTGACACGCACGCCGTTCCCAAAGTTATTGTGGTTCAGAACTCAGAATAGACCCAAGAAATCGGCTTTATTTGAGGCGAAGTTGTCATCTCACCAAACGTACACATGGTTAACCACAGCCAGCGACATACGTCAGTTGCTTGAAATAATCCTGATCCCGGGTACTGCGCCATATCTCTAAGTGTTAGCTTTCATAAGGGGGCTTTGGTGACGATGTCTGGAGGTTAGTGCTTGCGCTGTTTTTGTACGCTGGTTCTCGTGGGGAAATGCTCACCACATTTATATTCGCCGTCAATGGGCCTACACGCACCCACGTATTCGTTTGCCTTTTCACCTCAAATAACATGCTACACATGTAGGGGAAAGGTTTTGTCTTGAACATTCATGAGTTGAGAAAAACGTTGTGAATGGGGGTATTTTGGCGATAATTGAGTGGCCTGGGGGCTTCTTTTTCTCGCTCTCACGAAGGCTTGCCAAAGGGCCTACAATTATTCGTTTCCGACGCGTATTGTAATTGCTGGTCAAGTACGGTGTATTACCCACCGGTCACTGGGGACACCTTCTCATTCACTGTGAGCATGCACCATTCGCTCAACGGACGTGCTGGTCAAAGACGCTGTAGCCGAGCCTTTCGAAACCGTGGTGCCAAAAGTAGACCAATCAATATGCTCCCCACTTCGGTCACATTCCGTGTCCGCGGAACTTTGGGTCACGCTGCGTGTTCCGCTTAGGCTGCGTCTCCCGGGACCCATAATAACCCACCACGTCCCACGGCGGGTCACGGCCGCGACGAACCAATCAGACGGCTCGGCTGTGACCTGCTGACCGCACCCGCCGCATCTCGGTAGAACCGATCAGCGAACGGTAGAGACGGGTATCAACCGGTAGAAGCTAACCTGCGACGGGCAGAAGCCGATCCGCGTCCGGTAGAAACCGATCAGGAAGGCGGCGTGACTTGACCTGACGTGATCGATAGCAAACTCGCATTTTCTCAGCCCATAAAGCCGGCGGCGGCTCGTAAACTCATTACACGTCGTGATTCGCGTCTAGCGATGGCCTCTAAAAATGCGCGTCTCCTGGCTACTCGTGTCATCCCCACCGGCCTGCTCGCCGCGCCTGGATCCACGTCCGTCGCGCCGACCGAACGCCTTCCGCCGGCCGACATAAATCACCGGTTTTTGTCACCTTGTTTTTACGGCGCTGTATCGGCCACCAAAGGATGGACGCTCGCCGTCATTTGTAAGGAGACAATGGTCGGGTAAGCAGATTGGATCGAGCGCTGGTCCCGCGGCTGTCCGTGACAGGCGGCACTTTGGGGGGTCGCGGCGGGCGAGGGTCGCAGGTCGGGTGGGGCGGCGCCGGCGGTGGGGGTTACGGCGCATTACCTCTGGAGGTGTGAACCCCGACAGTTCTTTGCGACGCTTACAATGGCGCATAATGAGACCGGCCTGGCCATCCACGTCTGGCGAACAACGCGCCTGCCAGGATAAAGGGCACCGAGCGCCGGGTGGCCTGGCCGCCGCTAATCTGGCGACACCAGAAAGGCTTTCACACCGCTGGCGGCCGGTCGCGAGAACGGTGTCGGCAGGCGGCAGGGTGCCATCCAGTCTGAGTTCGTTGAGCGATATTGAGTTTGGGTCCTTTGGTCAAGAATGAGGAATTCCTCAAGCATTCAGAGTCGTAATATTCCCATGAAAGTTCTTTTTTAAATTCTACTTTGTTGATAGTTTACCTCTTAGCTAACAGTTTCTTCCTGTACTAATCACCCAGCTCACCCAGCTCGTATTTTTTTCACTACGAGTTTGTGTTTGGTTGCTTTTATTATCTTAATTTACGCTAGTTTTGCCAAAAGTATTATGATGGCATCCTTATTAAAAGGCTGTATTTGATTTCTTATATTTTTCCCATTTACCCCAGCTTTATTGGCATACGGTTTCATAATATTCTCATGATGAGCTTCTATTTTGATGACTCGTATTTTCGCCATTTTCTTCGTTTTCGTCATTTTCTCCGTGTGTGCCATCGTGCCACGTTCACATTGTCTGTCTCTGCACATCACTGATCCGACTCATCCTCCATCGCTACGCACCACCTCGTGCATCGCCGTCCCCACCTCGCCCGCGGCCCCGACGCCTTGCTCAGCGCGCCCGGCGACGCGCCCGCCGGTGCGGCCGCGGGCGCGCTCCCAGCCAGCCGGTGCGGACAGGTAATGGCCTGGCGGCGCGGGCGGCTGTGAGGTTGAAGACCGGATGACGCCGCTGTCTCGGACAGGCGGGCGCTGGGCACGTACGATCGCGGCGGTGGGGGGCCGTGAAAGTGACAGCCGGATGTCGACCATATCCCCGCGGGACGGGCCAATGGCATGTTCGGTCCATTCAGGCAGCTTTTCGCTCGCATGCCAGCACTGGGTGGTGACGTGCTGGGACGAGATGAGATGCTAGTGACGGCCGGTGATTGGACTGTGAGGCGCATTCAGGAGCGCGGCCCATGCTCATGCGGCCGATGATTACTACTGCTGACGACTGGCGACAAAATGTGGTTTCACTTTCAATTGCAAGTCTATGGTGTAAGAAAGGCATTAGGATAAGAGAAGATCTTTACACAGCACCAGCATCAACACAACCGTACCACGGCAATGACACTAAGACATGGAAACGTAGACTGCAAAGATGGATTCCCTTTTGTGGGGTCTTTCCCAACCCCTGTAGAGCGGCGCCACCACGGCTGCTTTTGTAGTCTACATCAATGGAAAAATGCTTATTTAGTGCACCAGCTTCGGAATGTTTCAAAGCAATCGACGAAATTCTTCAGGACCGAACACCTCCGATTGCCCAGTCTCAGCGCGACCCCCCCCCCCCCTCCCCCCAGCACCCCCCCCCCCCCCGAGCACCCCCACAGAGGTCCGCGGCCGGGCTTCGCCCCTGCGCCGCCCCAGCCCGTTCGGCGGGGCGCCGGTCATCGTGCCCCTCGGTGCCGGCGGCCGGGACAAGCGGTCTGGCCCCGCCTCAACCAGGGCGACCCCACGCCGAGCCTGTCGTCATTACGGCCGGGCCATCAGCCGGAGGCGGTGCGGCAGCGATTACCCGGCCGACCGGCGCCCGGCCGCCGCCCGGCCAGGGGACAGCGGGGGCGCGCCCCGAGAGGAGGCTGGCAGAGGCGAGCTCAGCGGAGGAGGCCGGCAGGGGCAGGCTCAGTGAGGAGGCCGGCAGAGGCGCCCCCCGCCCCCACCCACCACGCGGGAGGACGCTGGCAGAGGTGGGCTCAGCGGGGGAGGCCGGCAGGGGCAGGCTCTGTGAGAAGCCCGGCAGAAGCGTCCCCTGCCCCCACCCACCCTGCGAGAGGAGGCTGGCAGAGGCGGGCTCAGCGGAGGAGGGGACAGAGGCGCCCCGAGAGGAGGCCGACAGAGACGTTCCCCGAGAGGAGGCCGGCTGGGGCGGGCTCAGCGAGGAGGCCGGCAGAGGCGCGCCCGCGGAGAACAGCGGTAGAGGTGCGGCCAGGGAGGGGAGGGTAGCAAAGATATCCTGGGAATGGAGGCTGGCAGCGGCGATACGCACGGGTGGTGATGGTGATGTAGGTGATGATAACAGGACCC